AACTCAATGCAACGAAGAGTTGGTTTTTTGAGAAAATCAACAAGATAGACAAACCTTTATCCAAATTAACGAAAAAGCACAGAGAGAACATGTAAATTAACAAAATCAGAAACGAAAAGGGGAACATAAGAATGGACACAGAGGAAATCCAGACAATTTTCAGGTCATACTTTGAAAATCTGTATTCCACAAAAATTGAAAATTCAAAGGAAATGGACAAGTTTCTGGATAACTATCACTTAACAAAATTAAATCAAGAACAGATAAACAAATAGACTTATAACCCGCAATGAAATAGAAGCAGTCATCGAAAGCCTTCCAACCAAAAAAAGTCCAGGGCCAGATGGATTCAATGCAGAATTCTACCAGACATTCAAGGAAGAACTAATGCCACTACTCCTCAAACTCTTCTACAAAATAGAAACAGAAGGCTCATTGCCAAACTCTTTTTATGAGGCCAAAATAACCTTGGTACCCAAGCCTCACAAAGACACAACTGAGAAAGAAAACTACAGACCAATATCCCTGATGAACATCGATGCAAAAATACTCAATAAGATACTGGCAAACCGAATTCAAGAATACATCAGAGAAATCATCCACCATGACCAAGTAGGCTTCATCCCTGGAATGCAGGGATGGTTTAACATACAAAAATCTATCAACGTGATCCACCATATAAACAAACAGAAAAAGAAAAACCATAAGATTATCTCCCTAGATGCTGAAAAAGCATTCGACAAAATTCAACACCCTTTCATGATAAAGGTCTTGGAGAGGTCAGGGTTAAGCGGAACATACCTAAACATAATAAGAGCAATATACAGCAAACCAACTGCCAACATCAAACTGAATGGAGAGAAATTTAAGCCAATTCCTCTAAAATCAGGAACAAGACAAGGCTGCCCTCTCACTCCATATCTCTTCATTATCGTACTAGAAGTTCTAGCTGATGCTATAAGACAACAAAAGGAGATCAAGGGCATCCAAATTGGAAAGGAAGAAGTCAAACTGTCTCTATTTGCAGATGATATGATAGTTTACATAAGCGACCCAATAAACTCTACCAGGGAACTCCTACAGCTGATAAACACCTTCAGCAAACTAGCAGGATACAAGATAAAACTCAAAAAAATCAGTAGCCTTACTTTTTTCAGACGACAAAGAGACAGAGAAAGAAACCAGAGAAACATTACCCTTTACAATAGCCACAAGCAACATAAAGTATCTTAGTGTAACGCTTACCAAACAAGTAAAAGACCTATATAATAAGAACTTTGTGGCTCTAAAGAAAGAAAGAAGATACCAGAAAATGGAAAGATCTCCCATGCTCTTGGATAGGTAGGATAAACATAGTAAAAATGGCAATCTTGCCAAAGGCAATCTACAGATTCAATGCAATCCCCATTAAAATCCCACCACAATTCTTCACCAACCTAGAAAGGATAATAATCAACTTTATATGGAAAAACAAAAGATCCAGGATAGCCAAAACAACCCTTTACAATAAAAGAACTTCAAGAGGCATCAACATTCCTGACTTTAAGCTCTACTACAGAGCTATATATAGTTCGAAAACAGCCTGGTATTGGCATAAAAATAGACAGGAACTATACAATGTTTTCCACTCTCTCCATATCTATTCAATATAGAACTCAAAGTTCTAGCTAGAGCAATAAAACAACAAGAAGATATTAAGGAGATACAAATTGGAAAGGAAGAATTAAAACTTTCAATATTTGTAATGGTATAATAGTATATATACGTGACCCCAAAAACTCTACCAGGGAACTCTAATTGCTGATAAACACCTTCAATAATGTGGCAGGATACAAGAATAACTAAAAAAAATCAGCAGTCCTCCTATATACAAATGGTAAATGGGATGAGATAGAAATTAGAGAAACATCACCTTCTACAAGAACCTCGAATAATATGAAATATCTTGAGGTATTACCAAATGGGTGAAAGACCTGTATGCCAAGAACTGTAAGTATTTAAAGAAAGAAATTGTAGAAGACTTCAAAAAATGGAAAGCTCTCTCATATTATTGGATAAGTAGGTTCAACAATCTTACCAAAAGCAACCTACAAATTCAATGCAGTCCCAGCAAAATCCCAACATAATTCTTCACAGACCTCAAAAGAATAATACTCAGCTTCATATGGAAAAACAAAAACCCAGGATAGCCAAAACAACCCTGTACAATAAAGGAACTTTTGAAGGCATCACCATACCTGACTTCAAACTTTACTATAGAACTATAGTAATAAAAATAGCTTGGTTGAGACAGCGCCCCTTACCAGCAGGAAGTAGTTTGGAAAGAACAACGACGCCCAAATTCCCAAATATTGTGTATAAATGTTTGTTTTCATTTAATTGGACTTTGTTATATAAAATTAAATAAAAAATTATATAAAAAATAGCTTGGTTGGTATTGGTATAAAAACATATGCATGGACTAATAAAAGACCCTGATATTAATCCACACACCTATGAACAGTTGATTTTGACAAAGAAGCCAAAACTGTACAATGGAAAAAAGAAAGAATTTTCTTTCAACAAATGGTGCTGGCATAACTTCATGCTGACATGTAGATGAATGCTAATAGACCCATATCTATTGCCATGCACAAAACTCAAGTCCAAATGGATCAAAGACTCAATATAAATCTGGTTTCATTGAACCTGATTTAGAAGAGAAAGTGGTCGGTAGCCTTGAATGCATGGGCACAGGAGACCACTTCATAAATATAACACCAGTGGCACAGTCACTGAGAACAACAATTAGTAATGTGACCTCCTGAATTGGGAAAAGATCTTCACCAACCCCACATCTGACAGAGGGCTGATCTCCAAAATATATGAAGAACTCAAGAAACTAGACATCAAAATGCCAGATAATCCAATTTTTAAATGGGGTACAGAACTAAACAGAATTCTCAACAGAAGAAACTCAAATGGCCAAAAGACACTTAACAAATTGCTCAATATCCTTAGCCATCAGGGAAATGCACATCTAAACAACTCTCAGATACTATCTTATACAAGAAAGAATGGATAAGATCAAGAACACTGATGACAGCTTATGCTGGAGAGGATATGGAATAAGGGGAACACTCCTCCATTGCTGATGGGAGTGCAAACTTTGGAAATCAATATAGCAGTTTTTCATAAAACTGGGAATCAATCTACCTCAAGACCCAGCAATACCACCCTTGGGCATATGCCCATAGGATGCACAGTCATACCACAAAGATATTTGCCCAACTATGTTCATAGCAGAATTATTTATAATAAGCAGAACCTTGAAACAGCCTAGATGTCCCTCGACTGAGGAATGGAGTATTAAATGACAGCTTGAACTCTGATTGCAAATTGAGGGAACTAGAAAAAAAACCATCTGAGTGAGGTAACCCTGTATATACAAACACTGTATATACTCACAAGTGGATATTAAATGTAAAGCAAAGTATAACCAGGCTACAATCCACAACCCCAGAGGAATTAGGTAAAAAGGAGGACACTAAGAGGGACACACAAGGAAGGTCCTGGAAAAGGGAAATAGTTAAGATCTGGGTAAACTGGGAAGGGGAGTAGGAAGGAGGGGATGAGAACATGATGGTTCTATATGGCCAAGTTGGGTGAGGGATGAAGAGTGGGACCAATGAAAAGATATTTTGATAGAGGGGACATTATGGGGTTAGGCAGATACAAAGTGCTAGGGAAATTCCCAGGAATCTACAAGGATGGCCCCAGCTAAGGCTCCTAGCAATAGTGGAGATGGTACCTGAAGGCTTTCCCCTGTAATCAGATTAATGACTACCCTAATTTTCATCATAGAACCATCAGCAGATGCAGTGACCCACAGTCAAGCACTGGGTTGAGCTCCTGGAGCTTAGTTGAAGAGAGGAAGGAAGGATCATATGAGTAAGGGGTGGGGGGTCAAGATCATGATTGGGAAAACCACAGACAGCTGACCTGAGCTAGTGAGAGCTCAAGGACTCTGGACTGACAGCTGGAGGTCTTGCATGGGACCTTACTAAGCCCTCTGAACGTGGTTCACAGTTATGTGGTTTGATCTGTTGGAGGGGCCCTGGCAGTGGGACCAGGACTTATCACAGGTACATGAACAGGCCCTTTGAAGCCCATATCCTATAGTGGGATACCTTGCTCAGCCTTGATATGGAGTGGAGGGGGGCTTGGTCTTGCCTCAACTTGGTATACCAGAGTTTGTTGACTTCCCTAGGAAGGGAGGCCTTACCCCCCTCGGAGGAGGGGGTAGGGAGCAGGATAGGGGAGAGGAGAACGGGAGGGATGGGAACAGGACTAGTATGTAAAATGAAAAACAAATTTTAATTGTTTTGCCAAGAGAAAAAAGAAAAATCACCAAAGCAGCATACTGGTGCGGGGAAGGGGAGGAGGCGGGGGGGGGTTTAAACAGCCTGTATGGAGATTCGAGAGAATTTCTTTGCTTGTTGAGATAGGATCTAGCTATGCCATCCAGGCTGCCTGAGCACTCAAGATCCTGTCCTCATCAAAGTTAGACTTCTGAGACTAGTCTTCAGCATCCTAAAGATCCACTCTAATGGAGTTACATTCCAAGACTGTGAGCAGGCCTTGAGCACAGCATCTGTACAGCATCTGTACTCTCCTCCTAGTGGTGGACATGTTTGACAGTTGAAGACCCAGTAGTTCACGAGCTTGACATGCGCACTGAGCACTGCTGGTTGTCTGAAGTGATTGGTGCTCGAGGTCCCCTCTGGATCGTGTGCAAAGGGTGGCATTGCTGGGCAACGACAGTCCTGCCAACCGCCTAAGAGGTGGAGGGATGTTAAACCTTGGGGCTCCTCTGTGGGTGCCTTCTGGCGAGATTCCGAGACTTGGTTGGCTCTGCACTGAGACTGCCAGTGGCTAAGACTGGGACCAGGAGGAACTGGGTTACTGTGAACACTGAGACCGCTAATGGGAGGGAGTAAAGCAATATAAACAAAAGTCTAGGGTGAAGGGCTACAGTCTGAGCCATGAAGAAGATCTTCAAGGGTCACTCACCCTGGGGCTTCCTGGGCTTTAGGCAGGAGAATCAAGAACTGCCCTGGTACCTTACTGGGTACACACCTGTCAAAAAGATCCACAAAGCTGCAAGCGTTGGGGACATAACCCAAGTGCAAAGGATGCTCGAGTTTGGAGATGTTAATGTGAACATTACAGACCGGAAGAAGAGGTCAGAGAGTGTGGGGGGGTGAGGGGATGGCAGAACGGCCTAAGGAGAGGAAACACCACCTTTCTGATCTTGGCCTCAGGGTGGTGGAAAAGGGAGGCTTAGACCTGCTTTCACGGGGACACTGGGCTTTCTTCCCACCACAGGCTCCTCAGAACCCGAAACCTGCACACCCTTGGATGGGTCTGGAGCCCAGGTGTCCTTCATGAGAAGGAAAGCAAGAATTAAACCTTAGTTGGTTTTCAACCCCCATATAATTCTGCTTTGAGCGCACTTTATTGTCAATTTAAATGTGATTTCACCCACTAAGTTGAGATGCCCAGAATTTTCTTTAAATGTGCAAGTGGAAAAATTCCTAATGCTATGGGTATCAGGGCAAAACCAAAACGAAACAAACAAACAAACAAAAACAATCAACAAAATCCTATATTCATTTTATTTCACGTGAACCAAGGAATGCACTCATGTCCTGAGGGACTTACGTGGAAGCTGAAATGAGAGGATAGTTCCTTGGGTTTTCTTCACAGTCTGTTCTTCGGGGTGGCCATCTTCACTTACCACATGCTGCCTCAGCTTAGCTCTAGCCTCTAGGTGGCATAGTTTGATTAACATCTGTAAGGAGTAAGGTTTTTTTTTTCCCTCCCGCTGCGGTCTTGTCCCACCGCTGCGCCAGCCCCAAATAACGCACTGAGACTCTATATTTGATATAATGCTGTTGGCCAGTTACTTGTTTCATATCAGCTAGCTCTGTCTTAAGTATTAACCCATTTCTACTAATCTATGTATTTCCATGTGGTCTCCTCTTACCCTCTGAGAGCCCACTGGCGTCCAGCTCTCTCCAGACTCTCCATCTTGACTACTCCTTACTACTTCCTCTTTCCTCCTAGTCTCCTAGTCCCACCTATCTTGCTTTCCTATTGGCCAACAGTGCTTTATTCAGTAACCAATACGAGAGACATATTTACAGAATGACATCTCCCATCAAACATCAGTGCTCATCACAGGGTGTGTGATGCTCTGAACTTCCCACAAGTGCCTCATTGCTTCAGTTGTTTCCTTGATGCCAAAGCAGAAGGTTCACTGGAAACTTTCTCATCTTTGAGACCATCAAAACCATGGTGATTCCCAATGTGGTCCCTGCTTCAGGCAGACCACGGTCAACACATTCCAAATCTCCTTTGCAAAATCCTTCATTGTCTCTGTTGCGATGTCATCCCCTTTGGGAACATCCGGGTTTCACTGCACTCCATTCCCAGCACAGCTAAGTGGAAAGAAATCCCAATAGGTTACTTTGCTTCAGAGGAAAGGTGAATACAGCATTCTCACTGTAACTCTGTAGAACAGTTCTCAGGCATGTGCTCTGTCTCTCACAGGACGGCTCTACATTATGCCTGTGCTCATGGCCAGTCAGAAATGGTGAACCTCTTGCTATGGTATGACTGCAACATCGAAGCCCGAGACCGTGATGAAAGTACAGCTCTGATCAAGGTAATTAGGAGCAGCAGTAAATGAACTAAAATAGCTCCCGGATATTCAGGTGTGGGGAGCAGACATGGGGCCTGTATCCTGGTTTATCGGAGGCAGAGGCATGAGGACTGTGATTCAATACAAGCCTAGGATGTGCAAGTTTCATTACAACCTGGGAAACACAAGAAAGCAGTCTCAAAACGTTTTGTTTTTTTGTTTTTTTTTTAACTTGAATAAAAATGAATTGCAGGCATTGAAGTGTAACTGTTTGGTGAAACTTGTGGAAAGATTATCTTGAATTTCTGTAGTTGACAGTCTGTTCCCTTGGGATAATCCCCATAGGCAACACAGCGCCAGCACAAGGAATGTGTAAAGATTCTACTGGAAAATGGTGCTGACCCAAATGCCATTGATGCAAATCATAATGCTGCTCTCCACTACGCAGTCTACAATAACTCCATCTCCATAGCTGCCACACTCCTGGCATTCAATGCAGACACTGAAATTAAGACAAAGGTAACACCCAACTTTATTTCCCAAATACTTGAAAGTCATTTACCTGGAACTATTTCTACATATAGAAGCTAAAATGAGTATTCATTGACTAAAAATGTATGTACTGTAAATATTTATGTATCCATAAAAATATTTGAGAAAATTGTATTAATATAAGTTAAATGTAAAATAGATGCATGTTTTTTCAAATATGTCACCAAAGTTTTTTAATTGTCTTAGTCAGAGTTCCTATTGCTATGAACAGATGCCACAGAAACTCTTATGAAGGAAAACATTTAATTGAGGTAGCTTACAGTTTCAAAGATTTAGTTCGTTGTCATGGCAGGACATGGTAGCTTGCAGGCAGATGTGGTGCTGGAGAAGGAGCTAGCAGGCAACAGGAAGTGAATAAATGTCATACTAGACCTAGCTTGAACATTTAAGACCTCAAATCACACTCCTAGTCATACATGTCTTCCAACAAAGCCACACCTATTCCAACAAGGCCACACCTCCTAATAGTGCCACTTCCTAGGAGCCTATGGGGGCCATTTTCTTTCAAACCATTACAACATGTTTTTGATGAAAGGAAAAGATTTGTTGTGCAAAAGCCCCATTGTCCATAGTCACTTAGACACATAGAGAAAAACTCAAAGGCTGGAGTCAAGGTGATCCAGAAACAGTTGTCCACACCTAAACTTAAGGAGGCTCAGGTAGCTGAATCCCATGGGTCTGCCTATGGACAAGACATCACTTATATAAAACACCCATGTGTTCTCCAGCTTGCTAGGGACACCTGAGCATTTCACGTTACCAAATCTTTCTCTATGTACTGAAGTTTGCATCTTCTATCTGAAGCATACCATTAACAAGATTCCATGGTTTCCAACATTGTTTCTATTAATGGATAAAGATAAATGGAACTAGAACCACAGAGAATTTTAAGTAGTGCATTTTCAGGGGTACCATGTTCTAGTTCATTGTGAGGTAAATGTATTGAACTTACTACTAACACACCAACCTTTCACCTTGTGCTGAGTGATTAAACTCCATCTGAAGCCTATGAATTTTAATGCAGAGTTGTAGGGACCATATTGGAGGAGCATCAAATGACTTTGGAAGGATCAAGTGTATCTTTCCTGTGACTTGATGGAAATGTATTATTAGAACATGAAACAATGCATTGCATTCTTCAACAAATAGGAAGTTTTCAAACTACAGAAGATCTCTTCCTCCAGGATTTATAACACAAAGCCTTGCAGAGTTCTCCAAACATGACCACAGGATATCTGCTAAGCTGATATTTTTGAAGAGTAAAAACTGCTCGAGAGAGGGCAATCTTAATTAACTCAGGACAAGCACTTGGATCCTGAGCTTCCTGGCACTATGTAAAAGACAGCCCGGACCTTGGGCAGCTCCTAATTTACTGGGCACAGCATTGTATGGTGTGCACCGTATTGATGGGTTTAGAGAAGACTAGGTCTCTGGAGAGGGACAATTGCTGTCTTTTTTAGGGTTTCTATTGCTGTGGTAACACACCATGAACAAAAAGTGAGTTGGGTAGGAAATGGTTTATTAGGCTTACACTTCAGCATTGCTGTTCATCACTGAAGGAAGTCAGGACAGGAACCACCTACACCAGTTGAAAGAACAGGTGAGTGACTGCTCTCCTAGCTAAACAGCCCCCAAACTAAGCCTCAGGGCACATCCAGTGCCCCTTCCCATCTCAGACAGAGCAAGGCACCTAGGCCCAGCCCCACACTCTGGTGGATTTCCACTTCTCTGGAGCAGACTCCAGTGAGAGTGCAGCAGGAAGGCTTCACCACCACCCCTGACACCCAAAGAACTTTGTAACCTCTACAACACACTCTACTGCCCAAACCCACCAAATCCATCATCCTCCTCTTGGCCAACAGTCAGCAGCCCCTATACAAGCATTAATTACAGCAGTTGGAAGAACAGCAGACTCTATAGGCACAAGGGCCACCCATACCAGTAGGAAGAACAGAGTCTAAAGCACAAGTAAAGCCTACATAAGGCAGAAGAACTGGATGATATGCTGCATTTAGGCACCCAAACCCCCACAAACCTCAGTTGAGACAACCCAACTGGACCTGAGGATCAGACAACCACTAGAACCCTTGGCCATTCAGAAGAAAAGACAATAAAGGAAACAGACAGTAAGGGAGCAAAAGACCCATCCAACAAAGACTTCACATGAATCAACACATGTATCAGTCCCAAACCTAAATGGGTAAATGGCAGCATAAGAATACAAGCAACAAAAAGGGCAATAAAGCACCACCAGAAACCAGTGGTCCTACAACCACAAGACCTGAACACCCCAATGCAGATGAAGCAGAATAAAATTACCTTTACAATAACTATATGAAGATGATAGTAAATGAAAAATTCCCTTAAAGAAATTGAGAAAAAGGCTAACAAAAAATTGGACGAAATCAATAAATCCCTTAAAGAAAGCCAAGGAAAAAAGTATCAAACAGGTGAAAGAAACAGTTCAAGACTTGAAAATTTAAATAAAGACAATAAAGAAAATACAAACTTGCCAGGCAGTGGTGATGCATGTCTTTAATTCCCAGCACTGGGGAGGCAGAGGCAGGAGGATCTTTTTGAGTTGGAGACCAGCCTGATCTACAAAATCTAGTTCTAGGACAGACCCCATATCTACAGAGAAACCCTGTCTCAAAAGAAAGAAAGAAAGGAAGGAAGGAAGGAAGGAAGGAAGAAAGAAAGAAAGAAAGAAAGAAAGAAAGAAAGGAAGGAAGGAAGGAAAACACAAGCTGAGGGAATTATAAAATGGGAAATCTAGACAAGTGAATAAGAACTGCAGATGCAAGAATCACTAACGAATACAAGAAATGAAAGAGAGAATCTCAGGTGTTGAGGATATGATGGAAGAAATAGATTCGCTCAAAGAAAATGGAAATGCAAAAAAAAAATATTAAAATATCCAGGAAATCTGGGCCATCATGAAAAGACCAAACAAACCTAAGAACAATACAGACAGAAGGAGAAGAATTCCAGCTTAGAGTCACAGAAAATATATTCAACAAAATCATAGAAGAAAACTTTCCCAACCTCAAGGACATGTCTATGAAAGTACAAAGCTTACAGAACACCAAATTGACTGGACCAAAAAAAAAAAAAAAAAGTTCTCTCACCATATAATAATCAAAACACACAACATACAGAATAAAGAAAGAATATTAAGGGCTGCAAAGGAAAAAGGCCAAGTAACATATTAAATCAGACCTATCAGAATTACATCTGACTTCTCAATAAAGATTCTAAAAGGCAGAAAGAAGGTTGTGGACACTAAGAGGACAAATATCAGTCCAGACTAATATACCCAGCAAAACTTCACCATGGGCAGAGAAAACAAGATGTTCCATGACAAAACCAAATTTAAACAATACCTATCTACAAATCCAGCCCTACAAAAGGAAAATTCCAACCCAAAGAAGTTAGCTGCACTCACAACAACAGTCAATAGATAATCTCATACTAACAAAACCCAAAGAAGGAAAACACATATACACACAACCATAAACCCCCTCCACTACCACCACTGCCACCAAAACAAAACAAAAAAAAATAACAGGAATTAACAATCACTGGTCAATAATACCTCTTAATATCAATGGACTCAATTCCGCTATAAAAAGACACAGGCTAACAGAATGGATATGAAAACAGGATCCATGCTTCTGCTGCATACAAGAAACACATCTCAACTTCAATGACAGACATTACATCAGAGCAAAGGGCTAGGGAAAAAGTTTTCCAATCAAATGTACCTAAGAAGCAAGCTGGTATAGCTATTCTTAGTATCTAATAAAATAGACTTCAAACTAAAATTAGTCAATAGAAATAAAGGACATTTCATATTCATCACAGGAAAAATCCATCAAGATAAAAATCTCAATTCTGAACATTTATGCCCCAAATACAAGGGCACCCACATTTGTAAAATTACACATCAAATCCCACACAGTAATAATGGGAGACTTCAACACCCCATTCTCAGCAGTGGACAAATCTGCTATACAGAAATTTAACAGAGAAATCGGGAACTAACATATGTTATGACTCAAATTGACTTAACAGACAACCATAGAACATTCCACCCAAACACAAAAGAATATACTTTCTTCTCAGCACCTTATGGAACCTTCCCTAAAATTGACCGCATACTCCATTATAAAGCAAATCTTAACAGATACAAGAAAATCCTAATAACCCCGTGTATCTTATTTGATCACTATGGGATAAAGTTAGAATTCAACAACAACACATACTACAGGAGCTTAAAAACTCATGGAAACTGGACAACTTTCAACTGAATTACCACTAGGTCAAGGAAGAAATAAATTAATGACTTCCTAGAGTTCAATGAAAATGAATGCAGAAAAATACCCTAACTTATGGGACACAATGAAAGCAGTGCTAAGAGAAAAGTTCATATCACATCTCACACTAGTGACTTAGTAGCACACCTGAAAGCACTAGAACAAAAAGAAGCAAACTCACGCAGGAAGAGTAGATGGCGGGAAATAATTAAATTGAGGGCTGAAATAAATAAAATAGAAACAAAGAGAACAATGCAAAGAATCAATGAAACAAAGAGTTGGTTCTTTGAGAAAATCAACAAGGTAGGCAAACCCTTATCCAAAATAACCAAATGGAAGAGACAGAATATCCAAATTAACATAATCAGAAATGAAAAGGGGGTACAACAACAGACAGATTCTCTGAGGAAATCCAGAGAATCATCAGGTCATACTTCAAAAATCTTTACTACACAAAATTGGAAAATCTAAAGGAAATGAACAATTTTCTTGATAGGTACCACATACCAAAATTAAATCAAGACCAGATAAGCAATTTAATATACCTATTACCCCTAAGGAAATACAAGCAAACCAAATCCAAGAACATATCAGAAAAATCATCCACCGTAACCAAATAGGCTTCATTCCAGAGATGCCCGCCGGGATGGTTCAACATATGAAAATGTATCAACGTAATCCACTATATAAACAAAGTGAAAGAAAAAAATCACATGACCATATCATTAGATGCCGAAAAGGCCTTTGACAAAATCCAACACCACTTCATGATAAAGGTCTTGGAGAGATTAGCGGTACAAGGAACATACCTAAACATAATAAAAACCTATATAGAGTAAACCAACAGCCAACATCAAACTAAATGGAGAGAAACTCAAAGTGATTCCACTAAAATCAGGAACAAGAAGACAAGGCTGTCTACTCTCTCTTTATCTACTCAACATATCAAAGTTCAAGCTATGGCAATAAGACAACAAAAGGAAATTATGGGGATACAAATTAGAAAGAAGTCAAACTTTTGATAATTGCAGATGATAGCATACATCAGTGACCCCAAAAAATCTGCCATGGAACTCCAAGAACTGATTAACACCTTCAGTAATGTGGCAGGATAAAAGATAAACTCGAAAAAGAAAAAACAGTAGCCTCCCATATACAAATGATAAATGGGAGAAAGAAATTGGAAAAACAACACCTTTATACTAGCCACAAATAATATAAAATATCTTGGGGTAAGTCTAGCCAAACAAATGAAAAACTTGCATGACAAGAACTTTAAATCTTTGAAGAAAGAAATTGAAAAAGACATCAGAAAATGCAAAGAACTCCCATGCTCTTAGATAAGTAGAATCAACATAGTAAAAATGGCAATCTTACCAAAAGTAATCTACATATTCAATGCAATCCCAACACAATTGTTCACAGATCTCAAAAGAATAATACTCAACTTTATATGAAAAAAACAGGATAGTCAAAACAATACTGTACAATAATGGAATGTCTGGAGGTATCACCATCCCTGACTTTAAGCTCTGTTATAGAACTATAGTAATATAAACAGCTTGGTATTGACATAAGAACAGCCATGTGGACCAATGGAAGACCCTGACATTAATCCACACACCTAGGAACACCTGATTTTTGACAAAGAAGCCAAAAGTGTACATTTGAAAAGGGAAATCATCTTCAACAAATGATTCTGTCATAACTGGATATTGGCCTGTAGAAGAATGCAAATAAATCCATATCTATTGCCCTTTACAAAACTCGTCCAAGTAGATCAAAGATCTCACCATAAACCCAGTTACACTAACTCTGATAGAAGAGAAAATGGGAAGTAGTCTTGAACACATTGGCACAGAAAACCACTTCCTGAACCAGTAGCACAGACACTGAGATCAACAATTAATAAATGGGACCTCTTGAAACTGAGAAGCTTCTGTAAGGCAAAGGACATGGTAAATAAGACAAAACAGCAACCTGCAGAATGGAAAAAGAACTTCACCAACCCCACATCTGACAAAGGGCCAATCTCAAAAATAATAAAGAACTCAAGAAAGTAGACATCAAAATACCAAATAATACAGTTTAAAAATGGGGTGAGTTCTAGACAGAATTCTCAACAGAAGAACTGATTGAAAGACATTTAAGGAATTGCTCAACATCCTTAGTCATGTGGGAAATACAAATCAGAACAACTCTGAGATACCATCTTATACCTTGTCAGAATGGCTAAGAAACACACACACACACAGAGAGAGAGAGAGAGAGAGAGAGAGAGAGAGAGAGAGAGAGAGATGACAGCTTATGCTGGAGAGGATGTGGAGTAAAGGGAACACACCTCCACTGCTGGTGGGAGTGCAAACTGCAAGCAAGTGTGTGAGGGTTATAGCTCTGGACCTGCAAGGGAACAGCTCTGAAGTCCTGAGTTGCAATAGGACAGCTCTGGGGGGAAAGGTATCCTGACTTGTCAGGAAATCAGGCTATACCTGGAGCTGCAATACGACTGCTCTGAGGCTGGATAAGTATCCTTAAGCTGGGGTGTGGTGGGTGATGGTCTCCCTGCAGGATGAATAAATCCTGCTCCTCTCAAGAGCAAACCATTACAGCTGAATTCTGCTTGGTTCTCCTAAGGGAAAGTCCTACCAGAGTTATCTGTTTCTTCTGCTGGGGCCTCAAGATGATACTTCTTCTGCTTCACTCTGCTGAAGGGGAAGTCCCTGCAGAAACGTAACAATCTCCTCCAGCTCTGGAGTAAAGCTGCTTTTTCTGCTCAACTCCCAAGGGAATATCCTAGCAGATGTAATTTTTTCTGGCTTTTCTGCTCAGCCCCCTAAGGGAGTGTCATAGCAGAGGTTATTCTTTGGTTTTTCTGCTCGACCCAGCTAAGGGAATGTCTCAGCAAAGGTTCTTTTCTGCACCAGGGGAAGAAGATCTTCACCCAACTCTCTTAAGAAAGAGATTCATTTGGGAAGAAGTCCAGGAGAGTGGCTGCCTCTGCCATGGTGAGAAAGGACATCCAGCAAGTGGACAATCAGAGGGGCTTCTTAGGGGCAGAGTTTTCCCAGGGAAAATATTTTTTTGCTCAGGGATTGGTGAGTTTTCCTGCTCAGTACTGATTAGTTTCAATTGGTCAGGGGCAGAGTTGGTTGGTTCTGGTTTCAGGATCAAACTTTATTTCTTTCACTGGCCTTTTAAAGCTTTTTGCCTCTAGTTTTGGGTCAGGGCATATTTCTTTCAGTGGCTCTGGTTCCATGGCCAAAGTGTGTTTCTTTGACGCTGGTTTAAGAGTCAGTGTGTGATTCAGGGTCAGGATGCTAGATTTTGTGCTCAGGAATTTGTTAGTTTCTTTGGCTAGCTCTTTTACCCTACACAAACTTGTACAGCCACTTCGGAAATCAATATGGCAGTTTCTTGGAAAATTTGGAATCAATGTACCTCAGGACCCAACTATACCAATCTTGGGCATATACCCACAGGATGCTCGATTATGCCACGAGGTCACTTGCCATGTTTATAGCAACATTATCCATAATAAACAGCCAGAACCTGAAAACAACCTAGATGTGTCTCAACCAAAGAATAAAGAAAATGTGGTACATTTACACAATTGAGTATTACACAGCTGTAAATCACAATGACCTCATGAGATATGCAGGCAAATGGATTACCCTTGCCCACCCTTGACACAAGGGGAGGAACTGGATCCTGCCTCAACTCGTTGTGCCATGCTTTGTTCAAGTCCATTGAAGCCTGAATGGGGATGGGGGAGTAGTGGAAACCACGGGAGTAGATGAGAAGTTCATGTCTTTTAGCTGTGGGCTCCTTTAAAAATCCAAATTAAATACCTTCTTCAAGACAGAGGAACCAGGGTATTATCACAGTCTCAACCAAGCAAAACCAAACTCCAACAGCATAAGTAACTCAGTGTTCAATGACCTGTGATTCCCTCATGATCTGGACTCCTCCAAAGGGTTTGAGTCACTTCTCCAGCTCTGCCCTTTGCAACACAGTTTATCTTCTAGGCTCCAGCTAGCTCCACTCGACTTCTGCTGCTGTTCTTAGTGGTTTTCCCATGGTACTGGCATCTCCAAAATGCTGGGGTCCCTCACTGCAACTGGGCTGCACTTTCACCAATAGCCTCCCATAGGGTCCCTTCATGGTGCACAAGCCTCAACTTCTTTGCCTGACCCCTTCAGCCCTGAGTTTTCAACTGCCACTGAGCCTGCAGCTTCACCAATGGCCCTTTCTGGACTCTCACAGTGCCAACCCTCAGCTGCTCTCCATGACCCCTTCATGCCTTCAAAACTAGTACCACCCAGGAGACTCTCACACATTTGTCAAGTCTGTCTGCCAGCATGAGGCACAACCTCAGCCACCTCAGGAACATGGCTTCTCTGTGTCTCAGGAAACACTTCCCAGGAGATCTCTACTGCAATCCTCTCCAAAACATTGTTAGGCCTGTCATAGCAATGCCCTACTTCTGGTACCAGTTTGTCTTCCTTAGGGTTACTATTGCTGCGATGAAACACCATGATGAGAAATCAAGTTGGGGAGGAAAGGGTTTATTGGGCTATACTTCAGCATTGATGTTCATCACTGAAGGAAGTCAGGACAGGAACTCAAACAGGTCAGGAATCTGGAGGCAGAGCTGATGCAGAGGCCATAGAAGGGAGCTGCTTACTGACTTCCTCCCCATGGATTGCTCGGCCCAGGGATGGCACCACTCACCATGGGCTGAGCCCTCCCCCACTGATCACTAAATGAGAAAATGCCTTACAGCTGGATCTCATGGAGGCTTTCCTCAGAAGAGGCTCCTTACTCTGATGACTCTAGCTTTTGCCAAGTTGACACACAAAACCAGCCAGTACAGTTGCCTCTGCAGAATCTTGGTAAATTTTCAGCTGACTGAGAAAATATGTAACTGCATGAGTTGTAACTTGTTTTCATTTTCACAGAATGGCTACACACCACTTATACTTGCGGTGATAGAAAACAAGCAGGAGATGGTAGAACTGTTATTACAGGCTGCGGCCAATATAAATGCCCTGGATAACTTCAAGAGGTATCTTTGAAAATTCTTTTAAATCCTTCCAACATTCTAGAGTGGTTATGGTCATTTAAAACATCATTAGTAAATTCGTAAGAATATAATTTATGCTTATAAGAAACATGTTGAAACAAATAACAGGTAGGTAGAAATTAACTGTTCAACTTAGTCACACACACAAGTGTATAGCAGGGCTCGTGTCTCCTTTTAATATTGACTGATCTTTGTTACTTTGAGTTGATTTTTAATTATTTATTTATTTATTTTGCCTGCATGTATGTTTGTGCATCATGGGCATGCTTGATTCTTGCAGAGCCCAGAGAGTTTGCTGGATCCTCTGGAACTGGAATTAGAGATGGTTTTGAGCCACCATGAGGGTGCTGAGAATTGAACCTGGGTCCTCTGAGAGAGCACCCAGTGCCCTTAACCACTGAGCCATCTCTCCAGCCCCAAGTTGATTTTTTTAGTCATATGTTTTATATTAACTAAATAGTTTCATATTAGCCTTTTTTAGATGTGTAGACTGCTAGTTTAACATTCCAGTAAAATTCTTAACAATTTTACAATATTTCCCACCTCTGTGTCTTGTATACATTTCCTTTAAAATGCTTTGTTAGTGAGAAATACTTTTGAAAAACGTGTTTTATTTTTGATGGTTCTTTGTTTTAAGTTGCTTTGTTTGAAGAATATCAATGTCAGCTTACCTCTAAATGACTGTGTATCATTAGAAATTGCTCTGTGTCTCCCTGTCCTTCTATGGTTTATGTTGATGTGTTCAGCTATTCACCAGTCTGACCAAATACATAAAATAAACCATTTGATGGGGGAAGATTTATTTTGCTTCATAGTTTCACAGGCTCAAATCCACAGTGGGCTAGACTTATCTTGGATCCAAAAGTATGGTAGAAGTGGAAGTATGAGGCAGGAAAGTGTCTCATTTCCTTAAAGTCGTGATGCAGAAAAACAGAAGATTCCCATGATAAGGCACACCCTTTTAAGGACCCTAGTGACCCAGGTCCTCCACTAGGTCCCCTATTCTAATTGACAAGTTATCTATAATCTCATGAATGAATGAATATACTGATGACGTTAGCACCCATATGATCCAATCACCTCATTGGTACAATCTACTCAATGCTTAAAATTGTAATAGATATCTGTCCATTGAACTGGCATGTACAGAGGGACTAATCTAACTTCCACTGGATAAACTTCTATTAGTGAAAGTAAGTTATAGGAGACTGATAAAGAGATGGTTAGCTTCCTTCACACAAGACTGGGTTTATTGGTGCCTTTCTAATCAATGCATAACATCAAGATTATTATTTGTCACCATACATGTTTTCTGATATGAACATAAGATAATATTCCTTTTATCATTTAAGAATATTTATCTTATTTATATGTATGAATGTTTTGCATGCATGCATGTAGGTATGTGTATGCACCATTTGTCTGTCTGGCATTAATGGAGATAAAAAGAGGGCATCAGATTCTCTGGGGTCACAGGCAGTTGTGACCCACCTGACCTGGGTACTAGGAACTGAAACTGGGTCTTGTCTACAAGAGCATTCATTAAATGCTCTCAACTACTGAGGTATCTCTCCAGTTTGCCAAAATAAGGATAATGTTCTTGAAGAATAGTTTCCAGAACATATATAGCATTTATATCAGCATCTAGCACAAGGAAGTCAGCCTCATTAACTAAATCAGTTACTAAAAATTATCTTTAATTCTTAAAATTTTACTTTATTTTTGATGTTTATGATTTTTTTGTCTGCATATATGTCTGTGCACCATATACATGTCTAGTACCTAAAGAAGTCAGAAGAGGGTGTCATATCCTCTGGAGCTGGATTTATAGATAGTTGTGATCCACATATGGGTGCTGAGAACAGAACCCAGGTCCTAAGCAAGAATAAACATTCTTAACTACTGAGTAATTTCTCCAAACTGCTATTATCTTTACTACTAATATTTTATATTAGTAACATTTGAAATAATACAAACCATGTTGGTCACCAAGTGAAGGTGGGTTTGAGGGAGTCCACAAACACTCAGATAAATAAATAACAGGTATTTATTAGGGGAGAACTCACACAATGATGATAAATAACTACTGTGGCTTCCTGCTCCTGGAGATGCAGTCTCTTCCCTTCAGGATGCTCCAACCACAATCCAAGAAAAAGCAATCCAATCCCTCCTCTTCCTTATAGGGGTTCACATTTGCACACCTAAAGCCATGCCCTAAGATGTAGTCAACACCCCAACTCCACTGGCAGAACAAGATGCCACTACAAATAACTTTTCCTTATTTGACCTGTTGCTGACTATGATTTATAGTATGTTATATCAGGCTAGGGAAGTAATGGAGACTGTTTCATTTCATTTTGCCCACTTCAGGTAAATGATCTAGAAATAGTACTATCCATTGCATGATATGGAATTCTACTGAGTAGTATAGCAATGGCACAGGAGGGCTCTGGGTTCTTCCCTTTCAAGATTAGAAGTAAAGATCAGTGAATGACTTCCCCCAAAAACCTTTGTCTGTTCTTAACTACTAATGGCCACTCTAACACACAGGCAAGGGAGGAACTTGAATAGTTATTTACATGACTTTATTAAAGTGTGTCAGGAAGCCCTGTGTGGTGACACTTGCCTGGTCTACACAGTGAGTACCAGGACAGCAAAGGCATAGAGAGATTCTGTCTCAAAAATACAAATACAATAAAGTGTGTCAGGGTAACATTAAATTTGTTCCCTTAGGTCCGCCCTCATGCATGCTATGAGAGCTCAGTCTAAAAATATGATCAGCCTTCTTCTTCAGCAAGGTGCTGATACTTCTTTGGGGAATGTCTACAGAGCGACTGCACAAAGACACACTGATTTTGAAACCTTTCAAGTGTAAGTGTTTATATTACAATACTGATAGACTTCAAATTGACAGCTTTTGTTGTTATAACCATCCCATACTTATATAACCAATGAGATTTCACAGTCCAGTCTGTGAAATTTTGGAATGGCCATGAGTTAGTTGACTTCACAGACCAGAAACCAAGCAAAATGCTAAACTAGGTTAGAATAGTGACAGATTCAGAGTTCTCTATCTTTGAAATTTTACTTTGGCAGTGCTGTTGATTGAACTGGGATTCACATATGGTAGGTTTGTTCTACCACTGAGATGCACTCCCAGACCATTGCTCAGGAATGTTAGGTACTTTGTCTTAGATCAGGGCACCACCCTTCCATTCCAATTATAAGACCCACACAAGGGGCATAAATAATAAGTTGTCTAATTGGCTGTATGGGGTTTTTCTAATGCCAAATTTCACCAAAAAAATGTGGTTATTTTCTCATGAGCTCCCTCCTGAACATATGCATTTTTATGTGTATGGGTGTTTTGCCTGCATGTATGTCTATGACTCTCTTGCATAAATGATGTCTGCAGAGGCCAGAAGAGGGTGTCAGATCATCTGGAACTGGAGTTACACACAGCTGTGGACTGCCAGTGACTGTTAGGATTAAAGCTAGATCTCTGCAAGAGCAGCCAGTGTTCTTAACTACTGGGCCAGCTCTCTAGTCCCTGACTTTTTAGTTTTTAATGTTTAACTGTTTCTCTCTGGGAAGAGATGTCCAAGAACAATGTCCAGACTTCCCTTTGAGTCATGTACATTCAGACTCTAATATTTTCAAGGGTTTTCTCAGCTAAGTTGATTCAGGTAGCAAAAGCTACAACAACTCCTCAGCTAATTCTTAAAGAGGACATTTGTGCATATAAATTATCCCCAGGTCCTTGTCCTGCATTGACTGTTACTTTTGGCTGTGGAATCTGAGGGAGAGTGTCCCTTGAACATTTCTTAGGCTAAGGAAGTGGAAGCAGAAAGAGGAAACTGCAAGCTTGATTGTTTCAGAAGTTGACATAGAAACAAATAAAAACTGCCATAAAGCTGGCCATGGTAGTGCATACCTTTAATCTCCCAGCACTCAGGGGAAGAAGCAGGTAGGTCTCTGAAAATTTGGGACCAACATGGCCCACATAGCAAGCTCCAGGTCAGCCAAGAATAGATATATAGTTAGACTGTCTCAAGAAAGAAAAGAGGCTGAGAGCTGACTCAGCAGTTAAGAATACATCCTGCTCTTGAGGAGTAACTGAGTTTGATGCAGCTATGAGCTCCCCTCCAAGCAGCTCACAACTATTGTAATTCTAGCTCAGGGCTCTGATGCCCTTGTTGGGCCTTTATGGGCACTTAAAATGCTCACATTACCTATGTGATAGGAGATGTCATTCTGTAAATATGTTTCTCTTATTGGTTAATGAATAAAGCACTGTTGGCCAATAGGAAAGCAAGATAGGTGGGACTAGATGACAAGGAGGATTCAAGGAAGGAGTAGGGAAGAGATCCAAGATGGAGGACACAGAGAGAAGAACACCAGCCCCTCTCTCCGGTAAGATAAGACCACGTGGAAGTACTTAGATTAATAAAAATGGGTTAATATTTAAGACAGAACTGGCCAACAGCTTTATTCATTAACCAATGCAAGAAACATATTTACATAGTGACATCTCCCATCACCTACAGGGTTACATAATTTAAAATTTAAATTTAAAAATATTTTTAAATGCCATTTAAAATCTAGGTGACAGGTAAGTGGTGCTGGCACACACCTGTAATCCAAGCACTTGGGAGGCAGGGTCAGAAGGATCTCAGAGTTCAAGGCCAGCCTGGTCTACAAAGTGAGTTCCCAGATAGCCAGAAATACACAGAGAAATCCTGTCTCAAATAAACCAAACCAAAACAAGAAGGCTTACTTTTCTTAGGACTTTTAAAAAGATCAAGCTCACCTCTCACTGTAGTTTTCACTCTGCAGGTTTTCCCAAGGTCCCAGTTCCAATAATCTTGAGCCCACAACAGGAGAGGGCAGACATAATTTTGACATCAAGGTAAAAAGTTCATTTGTGCTGCTTTTTGATCTGGGGCTTTTCTGGGGCTTTGGGGACTTAGCTCAGTGATGGAGTGCTTGCCTAGCTAGTACATGGGCTAGGTTTGGTCCTCAGCTCCAAGGAGGGAAATTAGTTGTAAATTTCTCTTCTTTTCTTTTTTCTTTCCTTTCTTTCTTTTTTTTTTTGTTGTTGTTTTGTTGTTGTTGTTGTTGTTTTGTTTGTACTCTAACAGCAAAGTTCAAGTTTAAAAAAAGGCTCTAACATAGATTTTTATGTATAAGCATTAAGGCAAAAAGGGACTCAGGAAAAAGAACAATATTCTGAAAACATGGGTGTTGGCTTCTCAATGTTATTGGTTTTACAAATAGCTGTACATACCATCTTGATAGCTTCAGTGGTAATAGTGTTCAGGGGTTTGGTGTGCTGGTTGGCTTTTGTCAGTTTGACACAAACCTGGATGTATCTTCGAAGAAGGAATTTTAATTGAGAAAATGCTCCCATAAAATGGTCATAGGCAAGTCTATGGTGCATTTTCTTGATAATGATTGATGTGGGAGGGCCTAGCCCATTGTGTGTGGCCCCACCTCTGAGCAAGTGGCTCTGAGGTGTGCAAGAGAAGGAAGGGAGCAACCCAGGAGGAGCAAGCCAGTAAGCTGCATCCTCCATGGCCTCGGCTTCAACTCCTGCCTCCAGTTCCCCAAGTTCCTGCCCTAGCTTCCCTGGAAGCTGTGAGATGAAATAAACTTTCCCCTCCAAGTTGGTTTGTCTTGGTTTTTTATTACATCAAAAGAAATCCTGACTAAGACAGGTGATAAGGAACATTTCCCCCATCTTTTTGTAAATGAGATCTTACAGTAAATGGCTCCCAGGTATGAACTGGGCAGTATTAGACACTAATAAGAAAACACCCTAAGTCACAAGGTCAAAGGACCTATTGAATGAGGTCCCGGGGAGTTGAAAAATATACTTTGTCTGTAAACATAGTTCATGAAACTGTGAGAGTTTCAGGTTAACAGCTGGGGTATGGTAAGAGTAACCCGGAAACTCACATTTGTTTGAGTCTAAGCTTAGTTCATTGTTATTTTAACATTATTATTTGAAGTGTCTGCACAAAACTTTTTGTCCCTCTATAAATAGTCTTCAAACTGAATATATTGTGTTGGGAGGCTTGGGTCAGCTGACTTCCATTTCACTGGGTTCCAGACCAGGGCTCCCTTCATTTACCATCATTGTACCCTGCCTGATTGTGATGTTTCTTCTCTGCTGAGTAGGGATGCAGGCCCTGTCCACCCAGGGACTCAGAAGTCTTGACCTTGAGAACATAATAGAGAATCATTAAGGTTGTGAATCTGGTGGGGAGGCTGTTCTTATTCAGGACATCAAAGTATGCTGTGCCTGGGCCCAAGATCAAGGCCGAAGGTAACAAGGCATTTTTAGTATGAGGTACCTGGTTTTCATGAAGATTTACTAGGAAACCATCATTTGAGTTAGATTTAATTTAGGTGAGTGAATCACAGAGGACCAAGAATGTGCTGCCCAAGTTGTCGGGAATGGATGCACGGCACTGCCATGATGGCAAAAGCTGTCTTATGTACTTCTCTTTAGAACTCCAAGGGCTTTCTGTAATGAGACCTATGGATTGAAGCTTCTGTCCTGTCCTGTCCCACAGCTCTTTAGTCCCAAATAAACACACAGAGGCTTATATTAATTATAAACTATTTGGCCTATTGCTCAGTCTTATTACTAAAAAGCTCTTGCAACTTAAATTAACCCATACTTCTTATCTATGTTTAGCCACATGGCTTGGTACCTTTTCTCACTAAGCTTGCTTTCTCTGCTTATGGCTGGTGACTCCTCTCTGTCTTTCCTCTTCCCAGAATTCCCCTCGTCTTGTAGCCCCACCTATATTTTCTGCCTGGCTAATAGCCAATCAGTGTTTTATTAAACCAATATGAGTGAAAAATCTTTACAGTATACAACAGCATTGTCCCACATCAGAGACCCCTTGATTTGTGAAAATAAATATTAATGCTTAACATCCTAACAGTATGCCTAAACAAACAGAATTCCAAGAAGTAATCTAGTGTCAAAATAAATGAAAAGGAACTACAGTGAAGTTGTAATCATTGTATCTGATTATATTCCAAGTAACTCCCAATGAGCAATTTAAACTGTAGTGAGGTCATAACTATGGATAGAGTTACACCTGGACTTGTGTTTGTACTTCATTATTTTTCTTGTTTTAGACTTTGCAGTCTTATGTTGTGCTGGCAACTGGCATTGCCCTTAAGTGGCTATTGGGACTCTTGAGACTCAGAGTGGATAGACTTTATTCTAGAATAAGGCTACACTAACTGGTTGAGTTCTTTCAGTCTGGGGAGAATAGGCCACTATGTACCCTTAAGGTGTTAGCAGATATGTATAGTCTTGGCATGGATGCATCTGAGTAAAATCTAATTGTATTCCTTTCTGGGATCATCTCTCCACAGTGGTTGAAGCAATGGTGGGTGCTGTAGCAGAGACTGAGCAGTAGATTCACGTGAGGTTTGGGGGGTTGCAGATTTTAGTCTCCTCCCTCCCAAGTCATTAATGAGAGAAATTGCTAAAGTTCTCAGATAACACTAATTGTAAATTCCTTAATTTCCCATTGGTCTCATGGGGTAACAGGATCTTGTTTTTTTTCTTGAGTTCCCCTGCCATTTTCATCTGTATCCTTGGGTGGCCCATTCACTCTCTGCTTCTGGATTAGGATGATTATATCTAATTCTTGCAGAGATATCAACCATTTCTTTACCTTCATCTATGTCCCATAACTTAGGAAAAATTCCAGATGTAACAACTTATCATTAGTCCATGTCTAGTGCAATTCCCAAAGCTGGCACTGACAATAACAATTCCTTTAGCTTTGGGGACTTCTATCAACATAAATTTCTACACAAGCTTGTTTAATAAAGAGTCCTGGATTATTAATGAAGACAAGGAACGAAGGATACACATTGAAAAGAAAACTAGCATTTCCCCTTGTCATGTCAAGAGTTATCCAAGGACCCTCAATGGTTACTTGCAGTCATTCAGAAATGACTGTCATCAGACTTTCAAAAAATATCTTTTAAGTTGAACATCCTTATTGATGTTAAAGTATATGATTTCAGATGATTTATTTTGAGGTACTACATCAAAAAATAGGTAACAAACCAAGAAAACATTGTAAATAGGAAAGAAGGCTTTTAGAAAGAAGGAATTTAGTTTAGCATTTCTTAAACTTTCTAAATGTTGCCTTCTATTCATTCAGTACATCTTTTCACACTGATTGTGAGATTTTGTTTTCTGTTTTTGCTTTCTGCCCAAGTGGAGTGAGGAGGTACTGGGTTTTTTTTCTCCTAATTTGTGTTTTTATTAGAAATATCACAGTTTGCATGTAATTGTAGATAGCTTTGACTGACTAACAGAATTAATTATGTCTAGCAATAAAATGAATGTTTTTATTATGTGGTGATTACAAAAAGGCTAATTAAAACATAAGAAAGGTGTCATTAGCACTATACTAACCAAGGGAAAATATTATTAAAAGACAGCCTTCTAGTTTTTCCCAAGAAAAAATTCATGAAACTTTAATTCATGCAAACACATTACAATATTTAACAAACAAGCAGGTAGATCTCCCCAGTGTCCCACTAGGAGAATGGGTGCCAGGTGTTGACAGCAGGTTGCCTGACACCTTAAATATAATCGACTTAAATGAGATTGTTGACATTGTTGGAAAGGTCTTCATGGTGTGTGTTTCTGAAGCCTGGCTTTCTTAACTCTAGACATTCGCCACAAAGCATGGAGCAGGATATACAGAGAGTCTTGAGTGTGAGTGGGAATAGTAGGTGCTTTAGACTATTAGGGACTACAAGAACCCCTGGAGAAGGTGTTAGCTGGCTCTTCTAACGGCCTGTTGAAGCACATAGGCCAATGTGGTTGTCTCATCCAGGAGGGAACACTCTAGAGGCCAGGCTACCACCACCATGGACCAGTATGTTACCAAGTGCAAGAATCTTTTATCAACCCTGGGCAGCAAGCCACAGCAGGCAAAGGGGTAGCCACCCCTGAGGAACAGGTATAGTGACCATGTAGGGATACCCTTGTCAACAGGACCTATGAGGAAAAAGCTGCCACTGGGGCTTTCCAGTTGCTTTCCTGTTGACTAAACAGGAACTTAAAATGCTTTTTTCCTGCACAATGCATAGCTTTATAATGTTCTCAGACACTTTGGGATAGAAATTGAGAAAGCCTCCTCTAGCTAATGAATTTAATAACTACTCCATGTAAATACTAGGGATTTATGGAATCAAAGAGTCCCAGATCAGCAAGCACTTATTATAAATGTAAGCAAGTGCCATGATAAATGCAATAAATGTGATGGAAGCAGCAAAGGACCTAGAAACGGGGGCATAGAAGGATTTTGAGGGAAGCCTGTGTAGTGGCACTAGTCAGTCAGGGGCCTTTCACAGTAGAGGCACCATCTGGAGGGAAGAGGGACCATTTCTTTACACTGTGCCCCATGTTCTAGTCACAGGTCCATTCATAAGATGCCAGTGCAGTTGAGAGATATGTAATTTGTTGAGTTCTTGGCCTTTTTTTCTTTTCTTTTTAACAGGATGACTGCATACCATGTACATATCCCACCCAGGACAACAAAGAAAGAATGGCACAATTGCCAGCAAAGGAAGAGGAAAGCATAGACACAGTTGACAAGCTGGGGAGGTACAGCTGCTTGTACATACCCTTAGTTAAAACAAGCTCAAGGGTGTTGTGGGATGGCTGCAGTAGTTCAATTCGCAAGTACTGGTAGTTGCTGAAAATCATGACAACAAAGCAGAGGCTAATTATAACAGCAATTATTTGAGTGGGGAAGACAAGACAATTAAATATAGTAATTTATTCTCCCGTAAAACGGCCTGATATTTGTCATTTGCAGCCTGACTGGTCATATGGGCTTACACCAGTGAAAAGGGACCCCAAGAGTTGCTTTCTTTTTTCCTTCTCAAGTGTATTTGTGGGAAGAAAATCATTTGACTTGATTAAAAAAAAAATCATAGGTATGTGGTAAGTCATAGATATGTGAAAAAAAGTCATAGGCATGATGTAAATGGAGTTCTTAATTGGTCTAGGTAGTAAAAAGCCAGAGTCAGATACAGAGGGAACCCTGAGAGATGAGAGAGAAGGAGCGAGCCACAGCACACCTCACCTCCTTAGCATCTCAGCAGACAAGAGAGCAGTTTCCTGTTTCTCCCTGTCTATATCCTGTTTCCACCCAGCCACCTCACTTCCCATCTGTCTGTACAGACCTCCAGACCTCTATGATTAGCTAGTGGCAAACTCCATTCTCCTACCCTCAGACAGGCTTTATTTGTATAAGCAAGATAATGCCACAGCATGTGTCTAAAAAAAAACTGCCATAGGTATATGATAAAAGAGAGAATTAGTTTAGTTCCTAGCTTTCCCACTTGCTGGGCATGTGACTTGGGACCATTTATAACTGTATTCTCTGACACAAGGCTGCAAGACACCATTGCTTCATTCGGTGCTGACTTTCAGATTATCAGTATCATCCACTAAACTACTCTGTTATTGTTATTAGTGGTTTATGCTAATGTCTTTTACTTTTTTGACCTTTACCTGACCTCCAGTACATTCTATGACAGAACTCTCCACTGCAGCACTGGCCTGCATCCTGCACCCATGACCCTTGCAGAGAACTTGTAAGCTTAATGATCACACTACAGCTGTTCTAACCAACTTTCACACACACACACACACACACACACACACACCTACATTAATCACTTGTAGAATAGCTTTAGCAGAGTTACCATCCATGGAAAGCCTTCGGATTAATACAAAGTAAATTATAATACCACAGTGAGCCAAGAGGCTTTCTCTTTTATCTAAATTTGTTGATAGCTCTGAAGATAATTTGAGAGAATGAATACTTAAGCTCCCAAGTTATTCATTCTGTTCCTATATGTAAATTTTTAGTTCTACTGGGACAGCTAAGATACCAAATATATAAAAAATATACCAACATATGAACAGACTGAAAGACAAAACCACATGTTCATTCCATTAGGTACAGAAAAGGTCTTTGACAAAACCTAGTGCCCCTTCATGATAAAAGTCCTAGAGAGACTAGAGATATAGAGGGCATATCTTAACATAATAAAGATAATTTTTAGCAACCCCACAGCCAACATTAACCTAAATGGAGAGAAACTACAAACATTTCCATTAAAATTAGGAACAAAGCAAGGTTCTCCCTGTCTCCATACCCCTTCAATATAGCGCTTGAGGTCTTCGAGCAGCGAGACAACTGATGGAGACTAAGGAGATGCAAATAGGAAAGGAAGAAGTCAAAGTATCTTTGCTTGCAATTAATAGGACTCTAATCATAAAAGAGCCTAAAAATTTCATTAGGAAATTTCTACAGCTAATAAACACTTTCAGCAAAGCAGCTAGATAGAAAATTAGCACACACAAAAAGTCAGTAGCCTTCTATTTTAATTAGGGTTTCTGTTGCTGTGAGGAAGGAAACACCATGACCATAAAGCAAGCTGGGGTGAAGGGGGTTTACTTGCCTTACATTTCCACATTGCTTTTCATCACTGAAGGAAGTCAGGACAGGAACTCAAGCAGGGCTGGAACCTGGAGTCAGGAGCTGATGCAGAGGCCACAGAGCGAGCGGCGCTGTTTACTGGCTTGCTCAGTCTACTTTCTTATAAAATTCAGGACTACCAGCCCTAGGGTGGCACCACCCACCATGGGCTGGGCTCTCCCCCATCAATCACCAATTAAGAAAATGCCCTCCAACCAGATCTTATGGTGGCATTTTCTCAAGTAAGGTTCCTTCCTTTCACATAACTTTAGTTTGTTGTCCAGTTGACAGCAGACTAGCTGCAACCCTTCCTATGAATGAAAAGAGACTGAGAAAGAAACCAGAAACCTTTACTAATAGGCTCAAAAATATCTTGGACAACTCTAACCATGCAAGTGGAAGACTTGTATAATAAAAAGTTTAAAGCATTGAAGAAGACACCAGAAGATGGGAAAGTCTCCCATGGTCATGGATCAGTAAAAGTAATATAATGAAAATAGCCATCCTACCAAAAGCAGTCTACAGATTCAACACTATCCTCATCAAAATTCTAACACAGTTCTTCACAGAAACTAGAAAAAACATTTTCAGCTTCATATGAAAACACACACCACACACACACACACACACACACACACACACACACACACACACACACCACAAACACACACACCACAAACACACACACACACACACACACACACACACACCACCACCACCACCACCACCACCACCACCACATTATTGCTAAAAATGAATAAAAGAACTGCTAGAGGTATCACAAGCTCTACTACAGAGATATAGTAATAAAAAATAACATGGTATTTGCATTAAAACATACATGTTGAGCAATGGAACTGAATCAAGGAACCAGACATAAGTCCACTCACCTGAATTTTGCCAAATATGCACAGTGGGAAAAAGACAGCAGCTGATCAAACTGAATGACTGCGTGGAGAACAACACAACTAGATATTTATCACCCTGCATAAAACTCCAGATGGATCAAGGATCCCGACATAAGGCCAGACACATGAATCTTGTAGGAGAGAAAGTGGGAAATAGTCTTGAGCTCATGGGCACAGGAAAAACCTTCCTGACAGAACACTGACATCACAGGCACTGAGAGCAACAATTAATAAATGGGACCTCATCAAACTGAAAAGGTTCTGTATGACAAAGGACACCATCATGCACACAAAGTGGCAAGCTAAAGAGCAGGAGAAAAATCTCTATCAATTACATATCTGATATAGGGCTAATATACAGGACTAAAAAACAAAAACAAAACCCTTGGTGTCAAGAAAACAAATAACCTAATTTAGAAATAGGATACAGAGAAAAACAGAATTCTCAACATAAATGGCTGAGAGACATTTAAAGAAATATTGAACATCCATAGTCATCAGGGAAATACAAATTAAAACTACTTTGAGATTTCATCTTACATCAATCAGAATGGCTAAGATCAATAAAACAAATGACAGCTCATGCTGGCAAGCATGTGGGGGAAAGGAAACATTTATTTCCAATAGGAGTGCAAACCTGTACAACCACTATGAAACCAGTGTGGCAGTTTCTCAGGAAGCTGGAAATAGATCTGCCTCAAGATTCAAATATACCACCCTTGGGCACATACCCAAAGGACTCAATATCCTACTCTATAGATACTTGCTCATCCGTGTTCATTGCTATTATACTTGCAACAACCAGGAAATGGAAACAACTCAAACATCTTTCAACCAACAAATGAACAAAGAAAATGTGGTACATACAAAGGAATACTATCCAGCTGAAAATAAATAGGAAATTGTGAATGTTGCAGATGAGTAGATGGAACTAGGAAAGATCATATTGAGTGAGGTAACCTAGACCCAGAGAGATAAATGTCATAAGTGTTCTCTCATTGGAGGCTCCTAGCTCCTAATCTTCAGATGTGAGTACATACCCTATGGTAACTACAGAAACAAGGACAGTAAATCAGGACCATTTCCAGGAAGAAGGTTTGGGGAGCAATAGAGAGGAATTTGGGGTCCAAATGATGTGATAGAGGGGAGGGGAAAAGAGGATCTTCCAGGAGGGGGAAGGTGAAGAATAAAGAAGGAGGGTAAAATAACAAGAATGTCTGAAAAGGCCAGAAGGAATGATACTATGCACAATTTACAAAAAAAAAAAAATCTGTGTTACATATAATTCAGTGTATAAATATGCATACGTAGTTTTAAAGAACTTCTCTCATCTGGATTGATGATGCACCCTCCAAGAGCCAAAGTCTACCAACCAAATCCCAGCAACAGACATAAGAACCCCCCTTTTTTTCCCACGTTGTTAGCCATGGCTGTCCTAGAAATTCCCAGCAGTTTGTTGCTGTTGTCCCTGGTTGTTCCCCAGAGTTGTAGAAGGTAAGTCCCTATTCCTGAAGACACCATGCTCAGAGATCTTTGAGCTAGAACTAACCAAAGCCTCCTCCCTGAGCAATAGCTTTCACAAAACCAGAAGGCATCATGCAAGCTTCCATAAGAGAGAAAAGCAAACAGTCCTACCCAGCTATGATGATTGTGAATCATATCAATGGCCAGCTTGATGCAATAACCTTAGTGGTACAGTAGTGTCACACATACCTTAGTGGTAACCGACAGGTCTATAAATGGACTTGAGACACACTCAACAAGAGGGAAATCATGCCTAGTACTGGAAACCTAGTCAACAACTTGATGCTAATGAATTTATGGATCTTGAAGGAGAATGTGCAGCCGCTACTTTACTAAACCAGAACAATTCCTAACAACAATCTATAAACATTTGTCATTATACAAACAGATAAGTGAAGTATTCATCCCCCATCAAGGAAATTTCCCATTGTACCTGCCAGAGACAACTATAGAAAACTACAACTAATCAGCATGCAGGGTTGTGGCGCTCAGTCCCAGTGGGTGCATTTATAAAACGGGCCCACAGCTAAAGCTTAGGGAACACTGTGGAAGAGGGAATGGAAAGATTGCAAGAGCCAGAACATGGAGTTTGCTGTGAGTGTGTCTCCTCTATAGAAATGTGAGAAGCCACATCCATAAAGTCTCACCAACATGACTGCCCAAACATGTGCTGAATAAGG